GCAGGCAGTCCGGGAGCACCAACTCACTGTCTGCGGCCGGGGAGGGAGAGACGGGATGACCGTCACGCGGGCACAGCGCCCGGTCCCCATTGCCTGCGCGCCTCCTCCGACTACTCTTTAAAGCGTGCACTAGTAAAATGCACTGGATTTATAATGGCATAGAAAATGCCTAGGACATAACGTTATGCAGGACCGCTATGTAGTAGTTTAAGCAAAGGATCAAGGCTGGTAGGAAGGACACCAAAACTAAAAACATGATCACTTTTAAATGGTAAGCTTTTAAAAGTTGAATTTAAAACAAACTCCTGGGGCCCTCCCTCTTTATCCCCAGCAGCCAGAGCAGCACCCAGCACTTAGAAGACCACAGTATTTGTTGAGTGCATACTGGCGTCTTACCCCTCTGGGAAGCCAGAGGAAACCCTCATCCCCACCCAGAACGCCTCTCTGCACAAACTGTCTCATCCCAGTAGTTACCTTTCTAGGTTATTGCCATGGAAGGCCACTGAGGCTGAGGCAAGTTAAGTGAATTTCCCAAACTAGAGAAATCAAATCTTTTCTTTTTAAAAATCAAATCATACAAGTAATACAGACTGTCTTGTAGAAAAGGCAGTTCAGCAAAAGAGAAAAAATAGTCTCCTGTGAGCCCACCATCCAGAGAAAAATACTATTAATATTTAGATGTATGACTTTCTAGCCTTTTTTCAATATATTTTTCAGTTACCTCTTTTTCTTAATACAAAAACTGAGTCATGCTATATAAACACCAGTAATTTTTAACTAACTTTTATGAGCAACAGATCCCTTTGAAAGTGTGGTAACTTTCATCTATATCCTCAAAAAAGTGCACATTCTCCCTAAATTCTGTGGATAATTTCAGGGCATTCATGAATCACATGAAGCCATCCATGGTTATGAATTCCAGGCTAAAAGAACCCTGCTATACAAAATTCCTTTTCAAAATTAGCTTTTCCACTTACTGTGTCCTAAATACCTTTCTACACCAATAACCATATTTCTGATACCACACTTTTTAAGTGGCTGGCTATGTCTGCTTTATGGAGTCCTATAATTTGTAACAAAAGTCTCCAGGGGTGATGACGCACCCCTGCATTTCATCCTTAAAGCATCCCATGGAGGTGTTCCCATTGTACAGATAAAGCTCAGAGATGTTATGTGACAGCCACCAAGTGGCAAGTGGCAAATCAGGATTAAAGCAAGATCTGTCCGACTCCTGACACTACAATCTCCACTTTAACGTCCTCCTTGTTTATTGAACCCTTTCTGTGGGAGTCCCCAAATCTGGCCACATCATGGGCCACTTCCTTTCCAGGAGCCTTTTCTCTGAGCCTCCCCAAAGGAGAATCTGTGCTTTCTCTCCAGAAACTGAGTAAGGATGGTTAGGGTGCTTGGTGTGAGAGCAAAGCTTGGGGGACTGGACTGGTAGGGGCAACAGAGGCCAGAACTTGGCTCCAGCTGAATCTAGAGACTGTCTCTAGAGTCTCCCTGCTTTTGTTCTCCCCAGCTCCCCTGCCCTTCCAGGAACAGTGTTGTTTGGGACCCAGCAAGGAGAGGATGCTGGGCCCTCCCCCCAAGTCTCCTGCTTCTCTGGAGAAGCCTCTTGGGGCCTAGCTGGTCGGGATTTCCCAGCATCGGGTTTGGCAAGGAGGAGGGAGCCGACCGGAAAATGTGATTATTCCAGGGAATTGACTCTGTGACAGCAATGGTGCAGAGAGGCTGGGGGGTGGTGGAGAGGCACAGGCAAGGTGGGGAAAGACATGAGAGACAATAATGGGGAGCTGGGGAGGGCAGTGGGGTGACCTGGACCCCAGGGAACAGCCCTTGCTCCCCTACCCCTTAGGGATTCCAGACACTGGCTCTTCAGGACTCCAGAGGGTGGGGGTCAGGGAGGGGAAGGGATGGGGAAGCGGGGTGAGGAGGAAACAAGTGGCTCAGAGATGTAACCAGGGCCTACAGGAACAAGGCTGTCACAGGGGCCCACCCACATTCGCACCCCGACGCTCCTCTCCCCAGCCCCACACCCTACACACACTCGGGAAAATCAGGCCAGAACCCATGGAGCTGCACAGACCCTCAGAACAGAGTCCTGAATGGGACTGGATGTGAGCTGTCCTGGTCTCTGCCCCTTCAGGAGTCCTCTTCCACTTGAATACGCCCACTACCTCCCAGGCAGCCCATGCCATTGTTGAGCTACTCTGTCTTTAAGAAAGTGTTCCATCTCTGAAACTGAAATCTAATGCCCCGTATTTATACCCACTACCTCTTGGGCTGCCTCTCAGCCCCACATTGAAGACAATCTCCTCAGGAAATACTCAGACTCCCCACACACCTTCCCACCTCTTAGACAATGAACAGAACCAGACTCAGTACCCAGATGTGCCCTGAATAGTTCAAGGCACAGGGCGCCTTCACACCTCCCCTGATAAGTACACTATACTTCTTATAATGCAACCTAAGAGTATTTTAGGGTTTTTTGTAACCAAAATTCCATATACTGGTAGGCAAGATAAGAGCATAGTTAAGTGCAAGGACATTGAAGTCATCATCTTGGGTTCAAATCATGACTGCCATTTCCTGGCTCTATGGCCTTGAACAAATAGCTTAACCCCTCTGGGCCTCTCTTTTTCAGCAGTGAAATCATCATTTACTTATTGGTATAAAATCTGGATTCTAATACTTCCCTCAGAAGGGATGCTGTGAAGATGAAGTGGAGTAAGGTAGCTAGGGCACCTAGGAAAGCATCTGGCACCTAATAACCACTAGGTTAATATGAGCCATTACTACTGTTTTCATGCTACATGGCTCGGGAGAATACACATGGGTTTGGGGTGATACAGGCCTGGCTCTGAATGTCTGATCCAGCCCTTGGCTGGTGGCCTGCGGGTAAGCAACTTTCCTCCAGCCTCAGATCACTCACCAAGACAACAGGGTTAATAATACCCCTGCGATGTTGGCAATGTTCTTGCAGGGATCAGAGTAGAGCAGGAAGCCCCCGGCACCTGGATACTTCACTTAGGTTGTTTGCCAACCAAAGTCAGGGCCACCTGCACTCAGGCAACTAACTTTTTGACTAGGACTTTCCATCAGTCATGCTGGGCACCCAGGACATAATCATTGAATGATATCGCTGACTAAAGACCACAAAGGAGAAGCTACAAGTGGCGATTAGAGAGGGAAGAAGAGAAAGAAGGAGAAACAGTGGGAGAATACAGAGAGAGGGGAAGGGGTTGAAAAGTGACCCCTTTGACCAGACTTGAAATATCACAGGAATTGGGAGAGGAGGTACAGGAGACGCTGGGAAACAGCTAAAAATGGAATCCCTGGGGCCAGTGCCCAGCGCAAGTATGTCTTCTCTCCCAGCCCTTCCACCGCTCGGGGTCAGGAGCAGCTGCAGGCCGCCTGCAAGCTTCAAAATAACCATCCCATCAGTATGCCCAGCTGTGCTGGGGACCTGAAATAGATGAAACTTGAGATAGAGGAATTGGTCAGAGCACCCTCCACAGAGGGCACAGCAAAGGTCAGAGCAGAGTGAGCCGACATCAAGTCAGAGGTCAGGGAAGGGGCTGGGCCCCCAAAGCCAGGGAAGAACACCATGGGCCCAACCTCAGCCCAGGACTGTGCCCTGGGGTACAGTTTGGTAAAGCCAGACGGCCAGCCTTTGACCCCAAGCAGTGGGGTGGCCCCACATTTGAAGCAACAAGTAATTTAATCTGTGCCTGGGACACATGGCTGCCCACTTTGGAGTTGTTTATGATGACGGAGGGGTGGCACAGGGCCACGGAAGAAGCTGCAAAGCTGGCTCCCCTCTCGTGTCCCCTTTCAGGAAAGAACTGGTTAGTCTTCAGCCTGGCACTGGCTCCGCAGATCCTCTAGGCCAGGGCAGAAAGATCCAGGTCCTAGGAAGGGCAGGGAGGCCTGGACCAGGGTTTCCTCCCCTCAGGGTGGCATGAGGGCACCCACTCATTGACCCATTGCGTGCCCAGTCCCGGGCAGGAGTTGAGGAAAGAGGGAGAGCCAGGACCTGAGCCCTGGGGAGCCAGTAGCCCTCGGAGGATTGAAGCTTGGAGGCATGAAAATAATTGAATACAATTTTGTTACAAAATTCTTAGTGTCTCAAGTCAGAAAGGACCTTAGAGGAAAATGAGGAAATCTGTTTATCTCTGCCAAATTCTCACCCAGCCTTGGCTAGAATGCTCCTGAGGACAAGAAGCTCACCACCTCCCAAGGCCATCTATCTCCCCTCTTTGATAGTGATTGCTAGAAAAACTCCATGCATGCATCCAAGGGTCCTATTTCCACTCCTTGCCCCCTCCCCCCAACGCCTCTCTCCCCCGGCTCCGTGAGCCTTCTCTTCCTTAGGATAAATATCCCTTTTAGGATAATGCTCTCCAACTGAGGCTGAGAATTCCTCTTTCAGGGTGATTCAGAGACAGTATCTCAGAAGAAACAGGATTTGACCCAACCCTGAAGGACTAAAGGGTTTGGATTGACAGACAGAAGCGAGAGGCACTGGGGTGGGAAAACCGCGTTAGCAAATGCCTGGGGAGAACAGTCTGAGCAAGGTCAGCGGGAAAGGAAGGGAGCAGGAGGCGCCAGGCAGAGGGCGCTGGGGCCAGCTCCTGCCCAGAGACCCACCCAGTTCCCGACCCGTGACATGCTGCCAGCCAGCGCCGGGTAAGCGAGGCAGGGCCAAGGCAGTGGAACAGGGGGCCTCAGGGGCAGGCGAAGGGCTCCTTTGAAGCAGGGCCTGCCATCAGCTCAAGTCCTGTTTGTTTAGATTCTCACATCCGCAGCGCTGGATAATCTTTAACTATGGGTCAGCCTGCAGCCGCCCAGCTGGCTGGCGGGTATCTGCCGGCCCCTGTTTGGAAGGAGCGCCAACCCATTTACTATGTCCATAAACATCCTCCTGCCAGCCTGCAGCTGGCATGGATTAGGGGAAGGAGCCAAGAGGGTGGGTACATGGCTTGGATGAATGAGGGGTTTCTCCATCCCTCGGGGCAGTGCCCTGA